CAGTCTTCGGCCGTAAGCATAGTAAGAGCAGGCTTACACCTTTGACTAAACTATCGCACGACAGTTGCGAGACTAAACAGTTGTACAACAGTTTAGTCAAAGGTGTGCGCGCACTCTTATCCTGTAATTTTAACAATTGACAAGTAAGAAAATTTAAAAATCACCTCAAAAACTAAGTTAAAAATAAAAAAAAAAGTTACATAAATCATTCCTATTATATGGCTATTAATAGTAATTTACTACCATACTATCTAAAGTTCTACAATTACTACATACATTGCTGACTTGGCCATTTATTTTGTATAAGGACAAAATTTTCAAAAAAAATACCCCACCTTCTATAGGAAGACAGGTTTATGTGGCGTTCGACCCATTAAACCACCTAAGTGGCCAGCCTCTATTGCAATATAATTCCGGGATCTCCATAGAACACACCGGTAACGTACAGCCTTGGTCTGCGTGTCTGAAGGTGTTACCTGCTGCTGGCGAGCCCCCACCCCCGCGGGGTAGAGGTGGTGGTGCGAGTGCAGGTAGCCGCCGCCCGTGCGGTGGTTCTTCAGCGTGACGAGCGCGCCGTACGCCAGCTGCCGCGGCGCGCTCGCGTTGTGCAGACTGTTGCCCTCCAGACGCGCCTGGAAGCCCGACGAGTAGAAACCGTCGCCGTTACCGCTACAATATTTTAAACAAATTATAAAAAAAAACATACAGACGAATTAAATACCTCCTTCTTTTGGGAAGTCAGTCAAGAAGAGACACTTAGGTCCTGTCCCACCAAACTGTAAATTGTCTGATAACAATTCAACATGTAAAATGTGATGGAAATATCAGATTTTGTTCCCTTATCCGACAATGACGTCATTTTTAAGCCATCTAAGCCTATATCAGCCAGTGATGGGACAGTTCCTAGACCTTATTATTAGTATGAGAAATCATCATTAAAAGCTGTTTAAATAACCATTGAAATTTACGTCCTTATTATAAAGTAGTTTTTTCGCGATTTCGTTAAATCACGTCCACGTCAACGGGAAATCAACAAAATAATAAAAATATAGGCACATAGTTTTTGAGTTATTTCAATACATACAAAAATCCAAAAATGCAAATCTTTCCTCTCTATATTAATATAGATACTTGACTTTTTTTATTACCTTTTGCTCAGCACAGTGAGATGGATCCAGAAAAAGAACACGTAAAGTGCGATGGGCCAAAGAATTAATGTAAAAATCCGACCAATAAGATGTTTCAGTGTTAAAGTCTGAAAAATATTTCTTAATGTAGTTAATTATTAAATTTACATTCCGATATCAAACCAGTACCATTTGAGTACATAAATATAGTATTGAATGTAACATTTGAAACTCACCACTGGTTTTGTCAGATCTCCTAGAACATTCCATAGATCTGCAAGTGTGCGGAGACCAACAAACAGGACAAGGAACAAGCCGACAAACTTAACAGACATGGTGCACGCTAGAGACCAGCCCAGGAATAGTTGCCATGACAACATGCGAGTGGAATATGGCGGCTGCCCTGAGTCGGTTAATGTTCTAACCTAAGAAATATAGTCATTACTATGAAAAAAAAATTGTATGTATAACTTAACAGACCTTTTTTTTTCATAAACACAGTAGCAATAATATAAAATGATAAAATGCAAGCAATGATTTACATATTTTTACCTTAAAAGCTCCATAAATAGCACAGCTCATAAAAAATAATAGAATAGGATCTAAGAGAATATATCTGTTCAGAGTTAAATATCCAACATCTGAAAAATAATTAAATTGATTATTAAATAACAAGCTGTTCCCATGCGACTTCATCCGCATGAAATTATGATAACTCTATTCTATTGTTTACATTTGTCAAATTATCAATTACCAATATCAAAATGACATGACATGATAACAACCTTGCTTCCTTGATGTTGGCAGCAACTTATGGTCTCTTTCCCACATTAAGGTTTTATTCAATATATTTAATACCCTAAGTTTAATGGTGTTAAAACATATAGCCTAAAGTGTGACGTAAGTGTAGGGCTTTTTATTAAAAAAAAAGAGTTATTCAAAAACATGCTGTAATTGCTGACATCTTAGGCAACAAAGAAGTGTGTGTTTATGCTTTATTATAATAGTATAGATGAAAATTAATAGAAAAATATTTTATATATTAATTTAAATACTGCATAATAGATTTAAATATAAACGGATTGTTTTAATATCCTACTTCTATGCCAAATTTCATCTCAATACATTCAGTTGTTTAGGCAGTAAACTCTTAAAAATATACATCCATGTAAACTCACATTTATAATATTAGTAAGAAAGTAATCAAGATAACTCACCACATAACAATAGAATAGTACCAATAAATGTTGCTTCCATAGATTGTGTCATTTCCCATATTGACAAAAAGGTTAAAGGAACTGTCAAAGCTCCTAATGTTGTACAAAACTGAAAATAAATAAACAATAAACAAACATGAGATAATACTAGAAAAAATTAAAATAAATTCATGTACTTACAATTCTCATTCCTTCATATCTGGTACCATTATATTTATCACCAGGTTTTTCAAAAGGATATTTACCATCATAGCCTGATAGTTTTCCGGATAGTGCTATAAGCATCTGGAATAAACTCTCTATTATAATTTAGATTTCCAATAGTGTAACACTCATACAATAAGATAACGTTATCTGCATTTTAACTACAAGTTATTATAAGAGTTTTATTGATATTTCTCTTACTTATTACTAAACCAGAAATATTAAAATACTTTTTTTCAATATACAACATACACTAACTAACTGACCTTCCCTAGTGGTGGATGCACATCAAAGAAGAAGGTTCTATTTATGTACCAGCTAGCCATTTTGCCAAAGTGAGTCTCATCCCAGCTGAAAATTAACCATAAAAATAACAAAATGTTAACTCAATTTATTAAATATTTAATTTAATAACCAGAACAGTGTCATCACCTACATAAAGTATTTTGTAGATTATTCTATTAAAAACAACCTTACCAAACATGATCTGGTTCCAATACTTTGTAAAATCGGGTCAAAAAGGTAGCCGCGCATATAACACCAAAAATAATCCACCAACTGTAAATACATTATTAACAATTTATTATAACAGTAAGTAGTTAAAACTATTTCACACCTTAATATTTAATTTGTATTAAATCCAACAGTTTAAATGAAAAAAAAAATTGGCCTCACCCATTAACACTGGACTTATTGGTCAACTTCTTCTTAGTATTATCAGGCATATTTTTTAATTAATCTTTTACACAAATCTGTTAATATTAAACTTTCTCTTAAACTAAAATAACGGTAAACAAAACGTTGGTGACATTACTGACATTACAGTTTGCAAACAATCATTGTCAAAGTCATTTTGATTCAATTTCGTTTTAAGCATATTCATCAGAGTGTGAATCCAAGAAGTGATAGAACTAACAGGATTTACTTTGATTTATAGAAGAAAATCAATTAAACCACAACTGCGGTTAATTAGTGCCTTTAGGTCTTTCTTGATTCCTCCGTAGGTTTGAAAGATGTTTTTAAGCAATTTAAAAACGTGTCTGAACGTTGCAATATATCTTGTCTTGATCATGATGTCATTTTATTTGACACAGACCATAAAATTCATAAGACGTAATATTTATAGAATGTTTGTAAATATAAACTTGACAAAGGAATAAGTTTCTCATTATTATTTAGTATTCCTCATTCTTTAAGCGAGTATTAGTTGAGATGGTTGTGTTTTGATCTTACGTCATGAAGGCAATTATTTACGTTTTTTTAAGCCACTGCTTTCTTTCAACTTGTTTGGCAGAGTTGAGTGAAGAGAGAAAAGTACAATTTGTAACAAGATTCGTTGATTATTTAAATAATTTACCGAATCATGCCTTCATATATGATGACGGTGTTTTATTGAGCGCGCAAAAAACTGTGAGTAACCATATTAACATTATATTTCTAATTTTTATCTAGGGTTATCAGTTTTTCAACTGACATCTTTGTATCTCGAATGAGTCTTTTATATGCAACATCCATACTTATTATTGCTAATTTAATATTGGCAAATATGTCTAAGTCATTTAACAATGCAAGAATAATTTTTTTGGAGAAAAGAATATATAATAGGAGAATTTTAATTAAAATTTAATAATTGTTTTAGGATGAAAATAACTATAAGATTGAAGTAAAGCTTAAAGTTACGAGTATTCACAATCTTGAAGCATACACATATCGTACATGTTCTGTGACATTGGAAGACCATGGTGGTACCAATATCCATATAAAGGATGACTACAAATGTGAAGAGCCTTCACCTTCTACGACTACGGAATTTAATGTGGATAACATAGTGTATCAAGAAAAAACAACAACGGAAGCTGGAGAACATGTCCCTGTACAACTTGATAATGAAGTGCAGAGTAATACTGCGGTAAGATTTAAATCGATTTTATTTAGTTTTAATTAATTGTGAATGAAAAATTTGAGTAATTAGGCCTGAGCTTTCCAAGTTTATCATTTAAACTAATATTTGAAGCTTTTTTTTAAGCAAAAATACATCATTTAAACATGATATATGGTATCTACGTTTAAATTGTTAGTACAGGAAGTAAATGATTTATTCCACTTTTAATGATATTTAACTAACAGATTAATTTTATATCTGACACATCGCAAAAGATAGAAAAACCTTGCTTCAATTCTGGTTAAAATTAGAGCAATGGGAGACTCATTATTGAACATTATACCATAAAATGTATAATGTATTTCTTCTTATCACCTTGAGATGTGTTTCCGAGATCGCATGCCACATTAGCACTGTTATATTATTAGTTACAGTGCATTGTTATTCTGTTATTTTTTAAAGAATTACAAAGTTAACATTCTATTCCATTGTCCTAATGATTGTATTTCATTAGGTAGAAGTAATTAAAATATTGTTTTGATGACTAATAAATGTGTAAATGTTAACATTAATTATCTATTTTAATTATTCAATATTTTTGTTACTATGGCTATGTAATCAGTTTTTGATACATCTAAAAAATTTTACACACTCAATACAATGGCAGAATATCTCCTTTAAACTGTATCCATACTTAATCTTTGTTATTTAGAGTAACTTCAAATTAATACTAATATTATATGGTAACCTAGCTATTCCCGTGCGATTTCATCTGCATGAAATTATAAAAACATTATTATATTGTTTACAGTTGTCACATTCTCAATTGCAAATGTCAAAATTACCGTTACCATAATAACCTTGCTACCTTAATGTTGGCAGCAACTTATGGTCTCTTTCCCACATTAGGGTTTATTTCCAAAATATTTAACCCCTAAGTTTAATAGTGTGAAAATATAAAGCCTAAAGTGTAAAGTAAGTGTAGGGCTTTTTATTAAGAGAAGAATTATTCAAAAACATGCTATAATTGCTGACATCTAAGGCAACAAAGAAGTGTGTGTTTACGCTTTATTATAATAGTATAGATATCGCGATTCTTATAAACATTTGTGTTAGAACTAATATTTTTATTTCAAGGTTATACTGGTCAAACCTATAATAATTAGTGTTAAGACTATGTATGGCTTTACAAGTATGACAGTGCCTGATCAATTAGCCAAAGTCAGAGTAGTTAATTATACCTCTTAAATTGATTTGACATTATATGACTTTATAGTCTATGTTGAGTTGAGTGAATCAAATCAAGGACATCCCTACTTAAGTTTTTTTCTGTTATCTGTTTTAATATTTTTTGACAACAATGTTAATTATGTGACGGTTTTGGACCACCTTTCTCCTTATGTAAGATTAATAATTAAAATTATATCCACATCCAGGATCAAAATCCGCAGTTTGACATAAATATTTTTTTACACTTAGAGCACTTGTATGTATTTTGGTTCAGCCTAATGCACTGAACTCTTGCACTCTGAATGTATGTAAATCAGCTCAGATCAGATTCAAAAGATTAAGCTCACACAGATTAGACTGATGAGCTGTGGCTCTACAAGTAAATCGACAGCTCACGGCTCAATCAGATATTATAACTGTGATATAACAATACGCGAGCTATCTGCCGCGCAATAGCAGCTCGCAAACGCAAATTTTAAATGCAGACACAAATTGAGCTGAGCCGCGAGCGGATTCACTGATCTGCTACACACATGTGAATCGTGAGCTTACTGCCATAATTTTTAGTGTTACCATTACTAATTAAGATAACGCGTTCTAGCTTTGCCGATACTACAAATTAGTAAAATCATTTCCATGCGATTTAATCGACTATAGTAATTGCTTTGTGTAACTAAATTGATTCGGTAAAGTTAAACATTTTAGCTTATGTATTAATAATTTATTCGTAACTAGCCTTCGCCCGCGACTCCGTCCGCGCGGAGTTAAAAAAAACAAAAGTGAGTAACCTATATGTTCTTCCAGGTTATGCTATACAACTGTACCAAATTTTATCGAAATCTGTTCAACCGTTAAGACTACAAACTCTAACAAACATCCATCCATTTAAACTTTCGCATTTATAATATTAGTTAGATTAAAAAATACAGTCGCCGTAATAATTTTTGAACACAACGCGAAAATAACTCTCTACGTATGATTACGCGTGTTAGAATAAAATGATGTATTATATTTATAAAACACATCATTAACATTGCAATTATGATATGACACTCTTGGAATACAATTGTGTTAGTGCAAACCATATAAGGGTGCGTTTACAACATACGAAATTAGTTGCGTCAGATCTGTCATGTGCCTTTTATGTTGTAATTCTAATTCGCGCTTTTTAATGCAAACGAAAAGGCGTGATACACATGCCAATAGTTGACACACTTGTATGCAAGCTAGCTTTTGTTAGATATAGTCATGCAAGTTAAGTAGTATCGTGTGCTCTCAAAGTACGCGCTAGCCGTGGAGTTGCGGAAACCGTAGCCCCTACTACTTTCGTGTGCTCTCAAAACATTTACTTTTTTGAGTATTCCCGCCCTAATGTCAAATACCACAAATATCGACCTCAAAGTATTGCCCATATTGTGAAGTAATAAAAGAAATATTTTTTGATCGATTAGCGTGCCGTTTTGTAAAGGCTTTAATAATTTAGTAAAGTGTTCAAAAGACTTGAACAAGTTGGCAGGGTTAAGTTATCGCAAATTTGCTGTCTGGCATAAAGTCACTAAAGCATTTGAAATATTATTCCTTTTAAGAGTTTCGGGAAAAAAATATTTTTGACGATTTTTCTGGAAGTTTCTTTATTGCTTTTATGTTTTGCTTGAGCTGAACCAAGGTTCTAATGTATGGTAAATGACTGCGAATTCTCATTTTGTTTCGGTAAACCGCTTCAGTGTAACCACTGTCTAATTATGAACTTGTATCTAGTATTCTTAGAAGTAATGTATACGATGTGATCATTTTTATATTTAGTTCATTGTGTATGTTTTCCTTGCAACGATATTGTTATTTATGTCAAAATATAACGGTAGCGATTTTTTCAAATTTGTAGTTGTAAAATATCGAGTTCTTTGACTATAGGGTTCATATTGATGCATCTGGCGGATGATCTAATTATCATACGACACGTTTGTTTTTGTTTTAAAATCTGTTCATGTTGTATTTGTGAGGATTTTCTTTATTACATATCTATAATATATGTGTCCATGAACTCATTACGATAACACGGCGACGGGTCTATCGTAGTGTGAATAGATCCCACTCATCTTGGTAGTGACCAACTAACCTTAGTAATTTGACTAACGTTAACTATTGGTTCATTATCAACTCACTCAAGTTCAAACATTATGGGCATCGTTAGCAGACAATCTACGATTACGATAAACTAGGGGCTAGTAGTAAAAATGCTTTTTTTATTCCAAAGGGAAAGCTTTAATGACACTGACAAGTCGTTTGTAAGTTAACTATGAGTATCGCTAGAGAATACATAATCCTTATTTTAGATTAATTTATATGCTTACTAGCTTCCGCCCGCGACTCCGTCCGCGTGGATTAAAAAAATTAAAGTGAGTAGTCTATGTGTTCTTCCAGACTATCATGTACATCTGTACCAAATTTCATCGAGATCCGTTTAGCCGTTTAGGCTTCAAACTCTAACAAACATCCATCTATCCGTCCATCCATTTATCTAAACTTTCGCATTTATAATATTAGTTTGATTTTACTATCTTCAACTCTCTTGGGGATGCAGGGCAGCTCAGTGAATCTAATCTAGGGAATTAAAGATACTCTTCAGTTTCGATGTAGACCAAATTTACCCGCGAACTATGTTCATCAGAATAAAAGAAGATATTGTTTGTTTTACTATTTCTATTGCATCATGTTCATTTGTCTTATTGTTTGCGTTTAATGACTACATTCATAGTTGTTTTCTTCAAACTAATTGTATATTAAATAAACAAAAGGTTTCCTACAACTTCAGTGAATAATTTGTTGGTACAGATTGAAATATTTTGGCATTAGATGAACAAATTTTTACGCAAACATTTTGTTATATAACGTTTAATTTGATATCTTCAACCATCAATACAATTCACGTATTTATTCGCTCTCAAGTGACATTTGAACGTTTATCAATATTCGTACATAAATAAACGAAGTTCTTATTGCTTGCATTGTGGGATAAAAAGGTTAATAACCCATCTAAAGTGTTACACTAGTAAGTTTCATTCAATCACAATAGTTCAAGAAATAAACTAACATGAAAAAAGTTTAATCAAAAATAATGAAAAATATCTAATTTCTGTAATAGCAAATAAGTATTTGGACACACATAAATTGGAATATTAAAAAAAACTTCATCGCTTTAGCGATAGTCATGGTGTGCGTGACTTATTAATTTACCAAGCAAGTTACGAAATGGCTAATTTAATTTACACCCTTGTTAATTTCATGGATGCAGTTTTCAATATATACTTTTAAATTAAACAATATTGAAAAAAAAAAAAACTCACTAGACGATACAGATAATACCAAATAAATAACTAAAAACCTTTTAAAATGACTTGTGGAATTCATTAGGCGACCTCTGGGGAGCAATTTATCGCAATACCAAGAGAGAAACCAGCCGCACCATGTATTGGGTGTTCAACCTTCGTAAACCCTGGAGCTGCGGGCGTCGAGGAGTTGGCTCTGTTAGGCATTCGCCATCTCAACAGGCACGAACCCGATGTCAAGCATGAGTTGAACTCAGTTGTCGAAGTGGAGAGGCAGGTTCAGGTTTGTTGATACAAGTATTCAAAGTTAGAAGTACTACTTAAGTCATGACTTCTGCGAGATTGTAGTCTAGCCGGCAACTAGCATTTTTACACTGATAGTGTTGTCGCCGACTTTACTACTTGATCGTGCTTGTATAGTATTGAACCCTATGTTTAAGCGTCTTATTGATAATAAGCGTAAATACCGTTAAAAAAAAGCTATTTTTTGTATTGTTTCAGATTGTAAACGGTGTTAGATACATTATTACGTTAAAAGTTGATTATAACAACTGTACGATCGATGTTGCAGAAACTTGTACGGTTGTAAAACCTTGTAAAATAACAATTTTAGAAAAGCCGTGGGTCAGATTATATGATGGATCAAAATATAGAGGAATTTTAGCCAATAATTGTACGGAAGAATGGATATTCAGCGACAACGGTGAAGTAATACACGACGAAAAAAAAGGAAACGATGTTGTAAAAGTATCTAAAGATGATCCAGATAATGAAGATGGCGCGCATAAAACTATTCCAGATTTTGATAAAATTGCCAACACAGGATCTGTAGATGATATACTTAAAGCTATACATAATTCTGACGTACAATCTCAGCCGGTAACAGAAAGAACCTTATCGGAGGGAGAAGTTAAAAATTTAGAAGAACAAATAATACCTTACAATCAGTTCTCGGATACATCAACGTTACGTGACGAAGAAATAACTGCAAAACCTGAATCAGAAAACTTCAATTCACACTCAATCAATAAAATTGAATCCAGAAAAAAATATTTATCAAATTCTAATTCATTTATGTTTGATCGAGAAGAGGAAAAAATTAATTCCTTAAATAATGATAAGAAAAAAGCTATCGATGACTTAATAAACTTTTTTGCATCTGTTGATTCACATTCAAATCAAGAAGGAAAGAGAAACAAAAGAAATTTATATTTTGTCGGTGGAAAGCTAACAAAAGACAACAATGATCCAATGTACAAAACATTAGCGGAAGAATCATTAGCAAAATATTTACAAATATCAAATATAGATGAAGAATATGAAGTACTAAACGTTGAAAATGTTCAAGTTCAAGTTGTGTCCGGACAGCTTACTACAATAACTTTTCAAATTGTAAAAAAAGGTACGCAATCTCTGACTCCACAGAAATGTGTTGCAGATGTTTGGGAAAAGCCTTGGATACAATTCAAAGATATAAAAGTAGACTGTCAACATAGTGAATCGCAAGATATAAGACATAGGAGACATTTACCTGGTGGCGCACTTGAGCAAAATCCGAACGACCCCAAATACTTGGAGTTAGCTAAGGAATCCATGGAAAAGTATTTAGAAACTACCGGCAATTCAAGACCCCACAAAGTGGTTGAAGTTGAAAAAGTTACCACTCAAGTTGTTTCTGGTACAATGACGGAAATTCACTTTAAGATTTTGCCAGCTCAAGGCACAGGTGACGTCAT